AAATATTGGAAATCGCTTTCTTACTTTTCAAAAATTTCATTTTCTGAAAATACTAAATGAGAAACTTTGGAAATCGTTTTCTCATTATGGGAAAAATTGAAAATCGCTTTCCCATTTTCAAATTTATGTGAAAACATCCTATCCGAAGGTCTTACCGATGGCCCGAATGACTTATCGTCTTGTTTAAAAGACTTACAGATGACCCGAAGGATTTAATCATCATGCTCGAAAAACTTACTGATGGCCTAAAGGACTTACCAATTTGGGAAATAGTTTACTGGGTAAGAAATTTTGGAAATCGCTTTCTTACTTTTAAAAAATTTCATTTTGTGAAAAATATATAAATGAGAAACTTTGGAAATCGCTTTCTAATTTTTCAAATTCATGTAAAAACATCCTACCCGAAGGTCTTACGGATGGCTCGAATGACTTATCATCTTGCTCGAAAGACTTACAGATGACCCGAAGGATTTAATCATCATGATCAAAAGATTTACTGATGGCCCGAAGGACTTACTAAGTAAGAAACTTTGGAAATCATTTTCTTACTTTTCAAAAATTTTATTTTCAGAAAAGATTTAAATGAAAAACTTTGGAAATCGCTTTCTCATTTTTCCAAATAACTTAATGGTTGGGTAACATGCCCCACTTAGGTGGATTAGCCTCATGTTCTTCAGGTTCTACCTCTTTAAACATGATTTCTTGCATTTAAGGTTTGAATTGTACCTTCTACTTGTTAGGATTTTGGCATCATGAATCTTCTTTTTTCACATAAAGATCTATAAAAAACCGTGTGTTTATGTGTGAAATATGAATACAGTTAAATGTATCAATGTAATGAATTTTCTTTTATGCAAATGATGTTCTCATGAATGCATAAACATTGATTCAATCTTCATTTGACTTCAAAGTGGAGAACTCGATCTTCTTTCACTTGATCACTCATCTTCAGGGTTTACTCAGTATAAGTGTAGCAACTTGTAATTTCAAGCTTGCATATTTGAAGGGACATCTGATCATCTTATGTCTTTTGCATTCTTTGCCTCTCATCAGCATTATAGTCTCAGAAAAAATGCTTCATTTCTTACTGCGGTATGTAATATGATCTTGATGCCCCTTTCTGTCCTTGGCTCAATTGCGCTATCAGAGTTGTTTTTCAAGACTCTGCCATTCGTTGATGCTCGATTGATTTGCTTTACAAGGTAAGCTCTTCTCAAATTCATGGTTTGCCCCCGATAATCCAAGTTATGAGACTCACTCTCAATGTATTCTCGGTCTGAATTTTGTTATCTCAACGTGATATGGGTTTTTGGTCATGCCCCAAGGTGGGTATTTTCATGGCTCCTCCTTACTTATGTACCAAAATTCATCCTTGACTGGTCACATTCTTGCATTTTTGCTATGCGCTGGGATATATGCCCCTTTCAAATAGGGTAATCATCTACTTCTCGACAGATTACCAACAATGTCACAAGGAAGTGTTACAAGTTCTATCCTCCATCCCTTTGATCTATCGGACTACTTGCCTTCAAGATTATGGAATGTTTCATTATTCTGGCATTGTTTATTCTCTTTCTCCAATAGAGGCAGAATGGGCCTCGTCCGATTCAAAAACCTTACACATTTGAGACGGTCTGTTTGAAAATATTTTTCTCCTTTATCTTAGTTTAGAAATCAAAGAATGAAAGAATTTTGAAGAATATTATTTCTTAATTTATCTCATAATTAAAGCAAATCATAAGCATGAGTACATAGAATATCAAAAGAATCAACAACTCTTTTAATATTTTAAGAGTTACAATTCTTTGACAAGTGTCAAAATTGATGGGTTGGCTTCAGGTTGGCTTTCTTATTTTCTAAGGTTTTTGGCATCGAAGATTTCCTTCCTTTCTCAGTCCTCGTGAACATTATAATATGCCCCCTTTTCTTGGCTTGGTATTTTAATTGAATGTGGACAAAATGACGCAACTAGCATATTCAATTACTAGACTTTCTAGCACACTTTTATTTTGGTTCTCTGAAATCTTCCATTTGTTCAATCTTCGTAACCTTCTTTAGCAGAGGTAGTGTAGGAACATCAATCTAAATATAAAATTTATGAGTGCTTGTGTGAGGTTGACTATAACAGGTGTTCCTGAACTCCCTTAGTCCATTTCACTAAAACTCGTTATTCATAAATTTGATTTAATTTGCCATTGTTTGGCTAGCTAAATTTAGCTTTGTTGTAATTGCCTTTATCGGACTAGCTGAATGGTTCATCTCATCACAAAGTCTTTAACTTGACAATTGCAGTGGAGCGAACACTAAACTGTCGAGTACTCGAGCAATGTCATGGTTTGAATACAATATATTCATAAAGTTGGGGCTTTTAAGTTTCCTCTATAACCAATTGCTTTAGTGGAATAGCTCAGCTTTATTGTATAATCAATAATAATAATTTATTTATTAACCTTTTCAGTATTCAGATTCAAAATTTCTTAAGCTCAATGAGAAGAACCAATTATAGTCTATGTGCCTTTGATGGTAAGACAATCCCATATTTAGAGTTCAATTCCCAAACAACTGACCTATATTAAATCCATCCTGTAATGCCCCAAATATTGAATTAGGGACCTTATTGAAAAGATTTAAATTTTAAGGATTTAAGTGATTAAATGATAAAAGATGAGGAATGATTTGGATTAGTGTTTAGACTAAATTGTAACAATTGATGATTTAGAGGGCATTTTGGTTATTTAAAGGAAAATAAATTTAAAATTATTATTAGTAAGATATTAAAGTTAAGGAAAAAAGGAAAGTAGATACCAAAAAGCTATTTCCTTTTCTTCTTCCTTCACGTGGATAAAATCTCCTCCATAGAACCAAAGGTAAGCTTCAATTAATCAGTTTTTCCTTTTGATTATGGGTTGTTTTTACTACCTTAAGTGATATAGAAGCTTAAGGAAGGATTAAATGAGATTAAAACTATGAAATAGAGGAAATATTAGAGATTTTAGAAAATGGGTTTTGAAATGATATGTTAGTATATTAGTGTTTATTGATGTTTACTTGTAGATTTGACTTGTCAAAGTAGTAAATGAGAGATTATAAGCATTAGATGAGTTAAAAACAAGTTAGAGATTGTGGTGTGATTCTTAGAATCAAATGATCTTGAGGGATATTAGATGTTTTAAGTACCTAAATAAAGGAAATTTACTATGGAAAAGTATATAAGAGTTCAATAGTATTGTTAGGAGTAAACATAAGGAAGTTTTACCAAATTTGGGTATATTTCAGGTTGAAAAATTGAAAATCTGGGTAAGGGTATCGGTACTGATAGAACAATACCGATACTACAGGCTAAAATAGGATGAATCTGCTGAGTAGTATCGATATCGATTCAATCAATATCGATACCGAAGGGCGAGTATCGATACCGAAGGGAATGTATCGATACCATTCAAAACATAATGCAAAAATGGTATCGATACCATAATATAGTATCGGTGCCATAGTGTGATAGTATCGATACCATGGTATGTATATCTATACTGAGGAACCATAAATTGTAAGATAGGTCGATAATGTGGTAGAAAAGTTAATAATAGGTTCTATTGAGTAATATTTAAGTGTAATTGTTAGGAAATATACTAACAATATATATTGTACATGTATTTAATGGATGCTTGAGTAGATCGAAATCAAATTCCAAAGACAAGTAAAATGAAGGGAAAAGTTGAAGTACCTGAGTAAGAAACTTTGCATTTTGGATACAATAGCGAAGATAGCTAGGTGAGTGCATTTAATTGTGTAACCATTACAGCAAAATAAGGTTTTAGCGGCGTTTTTAGCTCTATAACGGCGTTTTTAAGCGCCACTAAAAACTTTCCCGACGTATGTAAAAACGCCGCAAGAAGCGCGGCTAAAACTAACGTCGTAAAAGTAGCGGCGTTTGTGAACAAAAAGCGCCGCAATAGGTCAAGCTCTTAGCAACGTTTTTAAGAAAAACGCCGCAAAAGATCAAGATCTATACCGGTGTTTTTGAGAAAAACGCCGCTACATGTTATGATATTTAGCGGCAATTGTGGTAAAAACGTCGCTAATAACTATGTATATAGTGACATTTTCTTCACAAAACGCCGTAAAAGAAACAGACTTTGGTGACATTTATTTACAAACGTCGGTATGATTAACTGATTTGCATATATCATTTTTTATTTTATATTACGCAAATTTAATATTCTATAGCATTATGTAATAACAATAAACTTAAAATTTAATTACGACACAAATTATGTAGAAAAATAAACCAAAATTTATAAAATAAAATTAAAATGTAACATAGTTCAACATTATTCACTAGAAATTTAGTCTAGGTTATTTCTCTTTCAATAAAAAAGAATTGTATCGATCTTTAACTTCAGTTGATTCTTTTCATCAGGAATGTACCTTCAATTCAAACAACAATGAAAACAATGGATTCAGAGACAATATATTACAAAGAAGATAAACTAGAAGAAAAACAGTTGGCATAGTTGGACTAGGTTCAGATGCAAACTTACAATATGCACTCATCAAGCTGTTTAAGAAGTGAGAGAAAGTTTGTGTTTCCAACATTCATGTTTGGAGAGTAAAAGTTAGAAGTAATCTGTACAGAAGAGGTAAAATTTGACAAATCATGCATTTCAAAAGTACCACACCAATAACAATTCATCAAGACACTTAAATTGGAACATAAATCCCAAAGGATAATAGGATAAAAAGCAAAGACAAGCAAAGACACTTTTAGTATATCTTTCAACTTCCTCCTCTGATTTACCTTCCATTACTGAAGCAATACTCTTTATATCACTTCTCCCTATTTCTCACATGCTCTAATGAAAGCATTGAAATATCTTCTATTCCATGTTTGTGTTTTTGTTAATTTTCATGTTTTGCCTTTGTGTTGTATTGTATAGTGTTCTCAAAGTTACCATGTCATTGGAGTGACAAATATTAAAGTTCGCCCTCAATGGAAAAAATTCAATGCCTATAGATTATAGAGATACTTTGGAGGCAAGAGTACTTAACTTTCCAGTGGGCATAATATTTGTAAGCCGTCTAGACTCCTCAATAATAGGCAACACAGAAGGATCAGGCTTTGGTTTGCTTCCCTTCTCATAAATATAGATTCCCTTCCCATTGTTTTTCCCTGAAATACCAAAACTTCATGAAATGTCCGAATAACAAAGGAGCATATATTGACTACACTATTATAAGGGGAAAAAGAACGCCACAGGAACAGAAACATGGTATTCATTTACCATTTCGTCCATTTTTAACTAAAAGTTCAACTAATGTAGATTTGAATACTCGATCTGAGAATGCCTTTTCGTATTCTTTCCCAACCTCCATGGCCACTCCATAGCCAGCTAAATCTTGAAGCCTGCAGCATTGCAAATCGGAAGCATAACTTATCAGTTATCACCATGTACCCAGAATATACCAAGGGTATATATGTTAGTATGCTTTGCTTCAAACAAATCGCCAGTCAGACGAACTGAAAAGTGAAAACTGATCATTACTAGAACTCTAAGCTCAACTGATCGGTCCCCCTAGTTCTGCTAAGATATTAATGGCATCGAGCTAGTAATATGTAAGCATTAGTTGTATGTTACCGCAGGTGCAGAAGAAGATGCACCAATATGTGGCAACTATTTTCTTCTTAGGTTTTCCAGTTATGGAAGGATGATACTTACCTTTTCAATTTCAGAAGCATTTATTACAATTAAATCATCACCGAGTCAAAAGCTACAATCAAGAAAAGCGAACCTTGTGCATAGGGGAAGAATGTCCGATTAACTGCAAAGCCAGTGCAATTACCAACCACAACAGGAACTTTCTTTATTACTTTTCCAACTGTCACAAGATCAAGAATTTTTTTGTGGGGAAGTTTTTTGTGTTCGCACAATCTCCAAAAGAGGCATCAGATGGGCCAGACTATTTAAGACAGACAAGTATATAAAAAAGTCAGTTCATTAAGGATCAATATCAGATAATATATCTATAATATACTAACATGTGCGTACAGAGTACAAACTGTAGTGCAATTATGTCAAAAACCTACAAGTTCAGTCAAGTAATGAACTATTGCAGTTATGGAACCAACTCATTTTATGTAAGCACTAGTATGTTCTGTTCAGTATCATCACTTCCTTAAATATTCATTTTATTTCAGCTCTGCAAAAAAATCATACATCTTATGGTATTCATCATTTATCCAAGGGATGAATTCCATGCTTGTAAATTTTCCATGGTATGAAGAGGAGAGGAAAAACACATTATGAAAGGAAGAAAACAAAGCTTCTGAAGAAAAGGAGTCATGGTACCAAAATCATTATTGTCAGCAACAAATTAAAAGTTGCGTCGACCCTGAAGACTGTATGCGTAAGAAACACACAACATGCATTTATATTGGGATCCCTAAGAACCAGTCAAGTGTCATCCTGAACACAAAAGTTAAATGCAGTAAAAAGAATAGAAAAGTGGTGAAGTTAGAGTCCAAAGGACCTTCTATTCATCATCAATGTTACAACATCCCGGAAAGGAATTATTCGACTTGGATGATTCTTTTAAGTGGGACCGAAGTATAAAAACATAACATGCACCATGTTGCACTCATCTCTTCCAATAGTTTCTCCTTCTCTTTCAACTCTTCAGCAGTTAATGGATCTCCCCGTTCTAAATACAAGAAACTTAGTAAAACAAGCCTAAAGAAGATTGTGGACCATAAAGCAACATATTACATGGCAAAAGATCTGGGTTTCTGCAACATCGTTATCAATGGTGATTCCAGAACTGTAATCCAAAAACTCCAATCAACAGATGCCAATTTCTCGGTGATTAGTGCAATGATACAGAAAATAAAGAAAGGAGTAGAGGATTTTCATGCATATTCTTTCAGGTTTATACAACGAGAAGGGAACAAGATAACCCACCTTTTAGCAATTGATTGGAGTTTAGGGTCGACAAATCGCTTCTGGGTCGAAGAAACCCTACGCAAGTGGAATCTCGAGCTGCTGAAGATCGATGTTGGATTGATCCACCATAGAGAAACTTTCAAACATGGTCTCTTCCTAGTATTTCAAATCTATCTTCTTTTCTATTTTTCCTTTGCTGAAGAGCTCTCATCGTTTATTTTCAGAGGAAGTGAGGAAATGAAAAGGCAGCTCCCACAATTTCCATTTTTTTAGGCAGAATTTATTTTTCAGCAGAACCCATTTATTATTTTTCCTTTGTTCGAAACGACTGTGGTGAACAACTGGATCACATTTATTTAATTCAATAAAACCACTGGCTTTTTCATTTTTGCTCAAAAAATAATAATGTAGTAATTTTTTTAATATATATATATATATATGTCTTATATTATATGAGATGAACAAATTTAAATCAACAAACACTCGTTTCAAAATGCCTTGATCCATTCCATTATTCTGCAAATCTCAAGATAATTAATAAAAGACAACTGCGTTCTCAATTTAAAGAATGTATTTACAACATAAAGTTGCTAGCAAGAACTCAAGCGAGTCTATAGCGGCGTTTTTATAAAAATGCCACTAAAGCACGAGTCTATAGCGGCGTTTGTATAAAAATACCACTAAAGTACGAGTCTTTAGCGGCGTTTGTATTAAAAATGCCACTAAAGTACCAGTCTTTAGCGGCGTTTGTATTAAAAACACCACTAAAGTACGAGTCTTTAGCGGCGTTTGTATAAAAATGCCACTAAAGTACGTGTCTTTAGCGGCATTTGTAGGAAAAAGAACACTAAATTACTAGTTTATAGCGGCATTTTTATATAAACACCAATAAATTACGAGTATATAGTGGCGTTTGAATAAAAACACCGCTAAAGTATAGTCTTTAGCGGAGTTTTTATTAAAAACACCACTAAAGTATGTGTTTTAGCGACGTTTGTTCTAAAAATGCTGTTAAAGTACAGTCTTTAGCAGCGTTTGTATAAAAATGTCACTAACGTACAGTCTTTAGCGGCGTTTGTATAAAAACGCCACTAAAGTACGAGTAGTTAGCGGCGTTTGTTCTAAAACACGCCGCTATAAACCCATTTTGTTGTAGTGAACTATATGTTATACTAATCATATATGTATTATTTCTTAATATGTATGTGGTGATTACCAAATAGACACTAAGTGTGCATTTCACGGAATTCATCCTATGTGGATGAATAACCGTTTTGGCACTAAGTGTGCATTTCACGGAATTCATCCAAGGTGGATGAATAACCATTTCGACACTAAGTGTGCATTTCTCGGAATTCATCCTATGTGGATGAATAACTGTTTCGACACTAAGTGTACATTTCACGGAATTCATCCTATGTGGATGAATAACCGTTTTGGCACTAAGTGTGCATTTCACAAAATTCATAATATGTTTATGAATAATCGAATAGGCACTTCGGGTGCATTATAAAGAAATGATAATGACTGAAAAATAATGAATTGGTATTTCATAGATAAGAAATAATGATATAATGAGTTCTTTGTATGATTAGTTTTTCCTCACTAAGTAATACTTAACGTGTGTCTATTTCATGCGTAGGTCGAATACAAGCTGAGTAAGGAGATCATCCGACATCAAAGGCAAAGTCGCCTCATCAGTAACAATATGACATACCTGTACTTTTGATATTTTAGTCGGCATGTAATTGGTTTAGTAAAAACGCTATGAATAGTATTTTGAATTAATTTGCTGTAAAATAGTGAGGTGTTTGAACATCTCTTTTTGTTCGTATATTTTAGTAAATGTATGTTTTATTATAAATAAATTAAAAAATTTATAAAACGAAACAAAATTTTATGAGTTTTCAAACGAAAAACAGATTTAAAAGTAATGTGACATCTGTATCTCATATACGGAAAGGTATAGGGAGAAGGGTGATATATTTATTGGTACCAGAGCCACAGGTTTAGCCGATTCTTGGCATAAAATGAGTGTATTTTGATATAAAAAGAGTTTACATGCCAGTAAGATGTCAAAGTTACTGATAGGGTATAGAATGAATATGAATGATGTCTCTCATTACTAACTTAATTACTATTTTTATGAATGTTATTCTAGATTTTGGATTCTATGAATTCGAGAAGAGCGGCTAGTTGAGAGAGTAGAGATGGATCGGGTAGTGAAAACTATGAGGAGAATAGTGAACATCCGATTCCATCAAAGAACGCCAGTGCACCGGTGCCTCAGGGTATGCCTTTTCCAGAGTTCGGAGCTTTTATGCAAGCTCTTGATGCTATCTTGACACGGTTCCAACTTCCTCCATCTCCCCCTACTCGTCCAACACCATGAATTTTAATTCCTAAAGAGTTAAGAAGTTTAGGAGCTCCTGAGTTCAGGGGAGAATAAGGTGAAGTCTGATGGACGCTGATTTATGGTTGAATGATGTGATGATGATGTTAAAAAGTATATAGTGCTCTGATCATGAAAAACTGGGCGGAGTTGTATCATTACTCCAATGATTAGCTCGGGTGTGGTGAACAAATACAACGATGTATGCGTCGCCCGAGCAAGTAAACTGGCAGTTCTTCCAAGATGAGTTCAAGAACAAGTATATCGGGGAGCAGTTTATGAGATCAATGTTGTTGAAGTTTCTTAACTTGAAACAAGGTGATTGAGCGGTGCATGAGTACGAGGTCGAATACATTAAGCTCGACCGTTATACTACAGAGGTGGTTCCTAATGATAAAGCTCGATGAGATTAGTTTATTGAGGGTTTGAGGCCAAAGTTGAAAGAGATGATGTTGGCCTTAAATTTTCCTAGTCTGCAAGAAGTGGTAAACAGAGCGAAGGCGATTGAAAGAGCTCAAGAGGAGACTTTAGCAGTGGAGCAGAGTATGCATATGGGAAAAAGGATTGGGATGTCTTCATCTACACATTATGCTAAGAGAGGCAAGGGATCAAGTTTCTAATATACTAATAGAAATAATACAGCTGCAGCTGCACAAAAGTCTAAGCAGTAACATTCTTTTGTTGCGAGCTCGAGTAGAGCTTTTAGAGAAAAAGGTAACCCATGTCAACATGTGGTAAATTTCACCGGGGAGTATGTAGAGTGCTCTCTAGCGCTTGCTTTATTTGTGGAGGAACATGTCATTATACTAGGAGCTGTCCACAGAGATCTGGGGATAGATCATTATAATATGAGAGATCATTAGCATCACCTAATAGAAGCAGAGGAAGATTATGCGGCCAATCAGAGGCTAGCCAAAGACAAGAGACTGGGGGAATAGCCTAAGTTTATAATATAAAGACCAGTGATGATTGTGACGATCCTGAGATCATAACAATTACATTTCACCTTTTTGATGAGCTTGTTTTTGTTCTAGTTGACCCTTGTTCTACACACTCATATATTAGTACAAAGTTGGTTAGGACTAGAGGAATTCCTTTAGAA